ATACTCAAGACAGCCAACAGATTAGGTATTACCTATTCTGATTCACGCTGGAAAAATTTATTTCAATGGGAGGGGGGACACATCACAATTAAAACCTTGCTGAACAATTTCAGAGTTTATAACAAGGCAGTAACTTCATTGAGAAAGTACAATATTATGTTCGCAGACCAGCTTATAGATAAGGATTCCAACATGCTATTAGACTGGAAATTGATCCAAGATCCCCAAGGCCGTGGGCGAGGACCTGTCCCCTTTTGGTTCCAGATAGTGAAGCAGGCATTAGCAAATGAATTCAGAGTGTTGAAAACAACTTGGCCAGATATAACTGGATACTGCAGGATAGAGCACTCTTTATACCAAAGAAACCAGCAGATCCAAGAAGATGGAACTGGCAAGTGAGCATGGAACATACCAGCAAAGAACTCTTCTGGACCAGAAGCAAAGGTACACTAGGGAAGAATAGTAGGGAGATAGAATATTACCAAGTCAATGCTGGCAGACTTCCTGGAACAACAGAATTCACCAGGACACAACCAACTCACAAAGAGATTAAAAAAAATCTTATACTTATATTCACCTGGATCAACAATATCAAAAAATATAGGTGAAACAAAAATCCAGCCATTCTGATTGACGTTCACACACTAGAAAACCTGGTTAAAGCTAAAATGGAAAAAACATATCCTTAAGGTATATCCAGACCTGGTTTCCAATTTGTAGAAATCGAGAACTACAGCAGACAAATTATACAGGATAACTTACTAGCAGAAGATCTTTGCAATTGGCTGCTGGAAGAGTATCACCTTAATGTAAACAAAAAATATACAGGCTCTTTCCAATTCTACACGGATGGATCACTAGGACGTGTACAAGACCAGATCTTAAGAATGGATGCAGCATGAATACAGACCAAAGGGCCCAATCCCGGAAGATCATTCCAAGCAGCTGTAGATAACTGGCTATCATCAACTAGGGCAAAACTGGTAGCAATTATTCTAGCAATTCTGTCAGTACCAAATGACAGTGCAGTAGAAATAAAAACAGATAGCTCCTCTTGTATAAACACCTATGCAAATGTTATCAAGCCGCACTCCAAAGATACACTAAAAAAACAGATAAAAAAGCCAAACTGACAACTCTGGTTAAGACTGGCCAATATAATAAAGAAGAAGAAATTATAATTAAAGCTCACCAAAGTCAAGGCACATAGCAAGGATGTCAACAACAATCAGGTAGATCAGCTGGCTAAGAAAGCAAAGGAGGAACCAGAAGTGCAGTGGAGGCCCCTATCCACAACGGTTCTCATCACAGTATCAGAATGAAACAAGATTCCTATTGATATCTCAACCAGGACATTCCTCAAGGATTATAACGAAAGAGAAATTCTTATACAATGGATATCACAGAATTGAATCCAGCAAAGATAAAAGAAGGAAATCCAAAATCCTGAAAAATTTGACTGAAAAGGTCTTTGGGATTTCTGCAAAGATGGAGGGTCCCTTAATACCTCACTTAAAGCTGCAGGAACTAGAACATTCAAAACCAGATTAATCCACAACAAACTTCCAACCATGGATACCCTGATTAAGAGAAACTCCTTAGAAATGCCTAACAACCTGTATGTGCTCTGTCAACATCAAGAAGAAATTCTAGATCACCTACTAACATGCAAGGAGATAAAAGAAATTAAAAAGAACATTTGGTACCAGGCTCAAAATAAACTTATAAGGTCTTGGATCCTCCAACACGTCGACAAAAAGGTAGATAGAAAGCAATCAGCAATAGAAGCACTCTTCAATAAATGTAAAGCAGAAAAATCTGATTCGGCCAAGGAATTAATTATTATAATTATTGGTCTCTGGGCAAAAGAAGATATAGAAGAATAGTCAATCCCCTCCGGTCACTAAAGATCTCCAAAGCCATAGCTAGAAGAATTCTCAATAAACTTTCCAACTTCTGGTGTAAAAAAATAAGACAGTTGATCTGGAATCCAAGATGTAAAAAGGTGCAAGAGTGCAAAAAGAGCTTTCTGGGAAAAGGTAAAAGAAAGAAGACCATTATACTCAACCAAAAATCCACCGGCACACAAGGCTCTCAAGGGAAGAAAAGTGTGATGCAGCAAGACCCCTCAAGCTCAAAAGCAGTGACAACCCCTCAGTCAGTACCAGACAGTCCAATCCATACCCCGGATTGGCAAAAATTTTATGGGACAAGATAAAGGAAGGGAAAAAATGGTTAGGAATATGAAGTAATCAAGATTTTGCCAAGGTGAACTGTAGTGATAAACTGCAGGCTATGAACTTGAGTTTCCTTAGGAATGGGAAACAAGAGAAAGCAACTTTATTCATCTCCAAGATCATATCTAGAGATTAATTACCTAAGACGGGTATTCAAGTATAAGTAGTTAGTTTATGCATAATAGTCAAATGTACGATTATGTCTTCTTATAAAAGATTAAATAAACATAATAAATACTTGTTTGATTATGGAAAAAAAAAAGTTTATGTTCTCTGATATTATTATTGTTGATGATCCAGAAGTCATTAGAGCTTAGATTATCAATATTCAAAAAAATAATATCTGGATAAGCAGGGGTAGACTTATTTTCTGGATGTGTCGCAATTTCTGTAGATTGCATATGCATAACCTCTTTATTTTATAATAAGTGAGAGGGATTTTCCTTTGTATATTATTTTTTTCAGAGATAGAGTTGTTATCTGATAGTGTAATTGGATTATCTATCACTATACTAATTTCCTTAGTAGGGTTTGTGACATGCAAAGTAATGTTACAATTAACAAGACTTTTAGGAAAGTATGTGTATCAGCGCGTATTGTTGCATTATGTAAGAGTGTACATATGGGAGATCATCAATTTGTATGGAAGTACTATGCATCATATATTGATCAATAAAAGGGAGTAAGATGTTTAGAGTTTTTGTAAGTAATTTGATTAATTTGGAGAGGGAAAAAGAATTGTTAAGAGATATGACAAGAGTTTGCTTCAGTTAAAGCTGGGTGTTTGGTGAGAGAACAGATGCTTCTTTTCTTTTAGCTTCAAAGGTGTTTGTTTCTTTATTGACAATAATTGAAAGCATGTTCCAAGAAAAATAAAGGTCATAGTTTAAAGTATTTTTAACTACTTCGCGAATTGTAATAGTTCTGTTATTCTTGTCAAGTTTAAAGTTCAGTTGATAGGTTGTGAATTAGTTTAGAGTAGAAAGAAGTTTAGAGGAGAGAGGGTATACTGAAACATTAAATTAAGGGTTGAAAAGGCATGTTGTTTGTTTTCTAGGTTCAAATTTGATTTCAAAGAATTCTACAGTTTCAGCATTAAGATTCTTAGAATCAGTTTTGATAGAAAGATAAGCCATAAGTTGGATGGTTAGAGAGGGAAGGGATTTGTGTTTCTTTAGCTGATTTGGAAACAAATACTTTAGAGTTTTACAGTTTTTGTAGATAATCGATGCTTTTGGTTTCTTGTTATTCAAAAGAATGACATCTAGAAGGATGTGTTCAGGATAGCTGGCAGGAGGTTTGGAGGGGAACCTCCCACCTCTTTGGTGAAAGTTTTGAATAAAATTTTATCTTTTGGTTTTTAATTTCCTAATATAAAAATGCTAATGCGAATGGGAAAGAGTTTTCTTTCCTTTTCTTTTTATCTTTTTATCTCCTTATTACTTTCTCAATATAGTTTTTTATCTCTTAAAACCATAGATTTATGTAAGAGTGAAGTTATGAATAGAATACTGGCATTGATAGCTTAAATAGACAGGAAATATTTAGTATAATAGTCTTTCGAAGCAGGAGCAATTTGGTCATTCCCCATATTTCTATCCAAAAGCTTCTGGCCTATGATGTGTGTTTTGCATAAGCATTAATGGTTTGGCTACATTAGTATATTAATATATCAATAATGTAGAATCATATTCTTTTAAAATCTTAATAAACAACCTCATCTTGCAATTTGATTAGGGCTAAAAAGATTGAAATTATCTTAAGTATGGATTATAATTTTTTGTTATAAAAATTGATATAATTTAATATTACTCAAATACCTACCATTTTAAAATAATTGAATCATTGTGAGGAGCCTATAGCATGCTTAAATTTTGTATTAAAGATGTTAGCAAAAAGAGTGCCATTGTATATGACACATAAAATAACTTTAATATAGTGATGAATGTTGGGATATTCAATAAGTAGAAATATAGTTTCGGAAAATAACATGTCAGCAGAACATCACCTTTCAAAGAATCTATATGGGGGAATTTGACTCCATGATTCCGTGACGTGACAATTATACGCATCAATAATTCAGGTAAGTGAATAATAAAGCAGCACAAACTAATCAGATAGCTTAAATAGGATATGTATAGTATGTACAGACTATTTTTATTAGCATTATGAAGCTGATTGAGAATAGTTCTATAATAAGTAACTACATTAAATAAAGTCATTTATCTTAGTGTCGTAATTCTCTATTTCCAAGCTGGTATACTAATTTTCTAACTTATCCGATCGTAATAGTTAATAAGTACCATTACGACAACATATCTCCTTTTTTTAACGCATCCCAGTACTTATACGAAGAATAAACGAGCATCGAGAACTGAGTCATACATGATAAACCGCTGCAATACCGAATGCCATAAAGAAAGTTATTATGCCCGATACGTACTGTATAAGTTAATGACCACGTTTTCAAACATTCATATTAACTTTTTATTATTTCTAATATTATCGTATATGTAATATATCATTTTATGAAAGTTGGAAAGCAAGTGCCAAGCAAGTTCTAAAAATGACAAGCAGGTTTCCAAACTTCGTTCATTCATTCATATTATTTCTTTTCAGAAGGGGCGACGAAATGATGATCGCTAATTACGCAATCTCCACAAATACTCGTTTTGTAACACAGATGATGTAATCGTCGTGATACTATAATAGCCCTCGCATGATTGCCGTCAATACAGTGATACAGTTAATTCTTGTTCTGGGATGGATTGCTTATATGGAAAATGTACAGAGTGCTCGCGTTATAATACTTCCTTTGCCAGGTGCCAGTCGTGTTATCCTTTTAAAACCACTCTAGGATGGACCGGTGGAAATAATGATGTCGATATTTGTATTAAAAATTTTCAACTTAAAAGTACAATGCAATTAGAAGATAATGAACGTGAAATATACGGAATAACACAGGATGCAACAAATAGCGAATACACGATTGTAATAGATGAATTTTATCACAAAAGGGATATTAAATATGGAAAATGTACACAGTGCGAGAGATATAATACTTCACAAGCCTGGTGTCAATCATGTGATCCTTTTAAATCAACTCAAGGATGGACTAGTGGAAATAAGGATTTCGATGACTGCATTAAAGAGTTTCAACTTAAAAGTACTGGATATGAAAATGTAATTGAGTGGATTCCGTTTAATAGGTTATCAAGCTTTCAGAAAATAAGATTAAATTTTCAAGCATTGTGGTTAGATGGAATACGAGAGGTCAAAAATAATCTAAAGTCACGTACATTATCATATTCAGTTGAAATTAAGAAATTTAATAATTTACAAATTGACACATTAGAATTTATAAACGAAGTAAGTTAAAGATTTAATTTTGCGGTTTATTTAGTAGAACCACACTTATCTTTATATTTTATTTTATAAGTTTAAAAATTACATGAAATTAGGAAATAATGAACGTAAAATATACGGAATAACACAGGATAGAATAACCAGTGAATACATGATTGTATTTGATGAATTTTATTACAAAAGGGATATCAAATATGGAAAATGTACACACTGTGAGAGATATAAAACTTCCATTGCCTGGTGCCAATCATGTGACCCTTTTAAAACAACTCAAGGATGGACTAGTGGAAATAACGACATCGATGTTTTCATTAAAGAAGCACAACTTACAAGTACCAATTATGAAGATGTAATTGAGTGGATCCCGTTTAATAGGTTATCTAACTTGCAAAAAATAGGATTGAACTTTCAAGCACTGTGGTTAGATGGAATACGAAATATCAAAAATAATACACGGACACGTTTATTATCACATGCAGTTGAGCTAAAAAAAATTAATGAATCACAAATTAACACATCAGAATTAATAAATAAAGTAAGTAAATATTTTATTTTGTAGTTTTATTTAGTATCTTGACACTAATTTTGTCTTCTTTTGCAAGATTAAAAATTATATTCAATTTATGGGTAATGAATATAAACTATATGGAATAACACAGGACACAATGACTGATCAATATATGATTGTATTTGATGAATTTTATTATCGTAGGAGTATTACAGATGGAAAATGTAAACAATGCGAAAGAAATAATACTTCAGAAGCCTGGTGCCTATCATGTGACCCTTTTAAAACTACTCAAGGATGGACTAGTGAAAATAAGGATATCGATGAATGCATTAAAGAGCTTCAACTTAAAAGTACTAATTATGAAAATGTAATCGAATGGATTCCATATAATATGTTATTTAACTTTCAAAAGATAGGAGAATCAAAATTTCTAGCACTATTAATAAATGGAATACGAAAAGTCAAAAATAATTCACAGTCACGTACCTTAACATGTGTAATTAAACTTAAGAAATTTAATTATTCACAGATTGACACATTAAAGTTTATAAAAAAAGTAAGTTATAGATTTTCTTTGTGATTTTATTTAGAAACCCGATATTTATTTTGTATTTTTTTTTACAAGTTTAAAATGAAATTGAGGAATAACGAAAGCAAACTATACGGAATAACACGTGATCCAACAACTGGTCAATATATGATTGCATTTGATGATTTTTATTACAAAAGAGATATTATATATGGAAAGTGTAAACACTGTGAAAGATATAATACTTCAGAAGCCTGGTGCCAGTCGTGTGATCTTTTTAAAACTATTCAAGGATGGACAAGTGGAAATAATGCTGTCGATGAGTGTATCAAAGAGTTTCAACTTAAAACCACTAAATACGAAGACTTTATTGAGTGGATTCCTTTTTATAAGTTAACAAACTTGCAAAAGATAGGAAAATTAGAGTTTAAAGCACAGTGGTTATCTGGAATACGAATTGTCGAGTCACGCAATCCGTTATATTCAAAAGTTAATACATTGGAATTTATACAATCACGCACGTTATCATATGCGGTTGAACTTCAAAAATTTAACGATTCACAAATTGACGCATTAGAATTTATAAAAAAAGTATGTATGGGTTTATTTTGTTGTTATATTTAGTAGCACGACACTAATTTATATTTTATTGAAAGTTTAAAAATTATATGCAAATAAAGGATAGTAAACTTAGATTATACGGAATAACACAAGATACGACAACTAATCAATATATGATTGTATTTGATGGTTTTCATTATGGAAGAGAAATTATATATGGAAAATGTGCACATTGCAATAGATATAATACTTCAGAAGCCTGGTGCCAGTCATGTGATCCTTTTAAAGTAATTCAAGGATGGACTAGTGGAAGTAAAGATATCGATGATTGCATTAAAGAGTTTCAACGTAAAAGTACAAGATATGAAGATGTGATTGAATGGATTCCATTTAATAGGTTATCTAATTTGCAAAAAATAGACGAATCAATATTTCATGCATTATGGCTAGATGGAGCACGAAAAGTCAAAAACAACACACGATTGCGTACGTTATCATGTTTAGTAGAACTTCAAAAATTTGATGGTTTACAAGTTGATGCATTAGAATTTATAAGAAAAGTAAGTTAAATATTTACTTACTGCTATTTAGAAGCACAACGCACTAATTTTTCTATTCTATTTTATAAGTTTAAAAGTTTTGTGCAATTTGAGAATAATGGACATAAAATTTTTGGGATAACTCAGAATGCATCATCGGAACAATATATGATGGTAATTGATTATTGCATTTCTAGGAGAGCTAGGAAATACGGGGTATGCAGATGGGATGGACATTATAACACTTCGAGAGGCTGGTGTCAATCGTGTGATCCTTTTGAAATGACTCAAGAATGGACAAGCGAAAGTATTGATGTAGATGATTGTATCAAAGAATTTCAATTTATGGCCACCAAATATGATAAAGTAATAGAATGGATCCCTTTTGATAGATTAAATAATATACAGCAGATCGGGAAAGGGGGATTTGGTGACGTTTTTTCCGCAAACTGGATAGATGGAAAAAGAAAGGTTTTAAATGACGGCAAAAGATTTATACAGTCACGAACACAATCTTACTTAGTCGCACTCAAGACTTTATCTGGTTCCTCTAGTTCTGCGGATTTCTTAAGAGAAGTTAGTTCTGTATTTTTTTTCAAGTTATTTTGTGTTTAACTGATAGCACACTAAAAATACGTTTATTTTTGAAGTTTAAAAATCACATGCGATGTAGATTAACGGGGAGTAGCCTTGAAGTATATGGATTAACCAAAAATACAATGACAAATCAATATATGATGGTTCTTCAATATGCCAACAATGGCAATCTTCGTCATTATTTAAAATCGAATTTTAAAGAACTTACTTGGAAAGATAAATTATTACGACTGATGGATATATCAAAAGATTTGTCTCTAATTCATGAAGCAAAATATATTCATTGCGATTTACATAGTGGAAACATTGTATTACATAAAGAGGGATCGTGGCTTGAAAGGTCAAAGACTTATATTATAGATCTTGGATTGTCCCGGAAAAACGAAGGTACTGGAGTTAAAAGAGGAATTTATGGAGTTATGCCTTATATTGCACCTGAACTTTTGTTAGGCGAAAATCACACGCAAGCATCTGATATATATAGTTTCGGTGTTATTATGGCGGAAATAACTACTGGAATACCACCATTTGACGGTTATTTATTTAATGAGGATTTAGCATTAAAAATCTGTAACGGATTAAGACCAAAATTTGCTTCAGGGACTCCCGATTTTTATGTCGAATTTTCAGAACTGTGTATGAATTTTGATCCACAAAAACGACCTACTGCTGAAGAAATTTTTCATAAGTTAGAAGAATGGTATCATTTGATTAATGAGTTTGATGAAACAGAATATTACTATGATATTCAAGAGATTGACAGATTTGAATTTGAAGAAATCGATGAATCAAAAGTAGAAATGTTTAATAAATTCTTAGAATCTGATGAAATAGTTAAACAGTTGCCAATGGCTGCGCAAATACATCAAGATTCTGAGTATACTAGCAGATTTATTAATACTAATAGTGTTTCCGAACGGTATTGGCAAGGTAAATGTTTTTTATTAAAAATTTGCAACATTCTCTTGTATGATAATTGTGTGGTATTTAATAATGATTCTTTTGTATAGACTCTACGATGATTGATTTGGAGATAAAATTACAATAATAACATACAATATACTGTAACACTTCAGCTATTGTTAGAATTAATGAAAGTAACATTTCCTAAATTGTTATAATTTCATAAGTAGTGAAATTAGTATTATTGAAAAAATCTGTCTTGTTTTAATTTTTTTATTATATGTCTTATATTCATTATTTGGATTTTCTATATATTTATATTATTTTACTGTAATGTTACTAAATAAACATACATATTATAAAGTTAAATCTCTAAAGAAACTGATAATCTTACAATAGTATTTTAGGTATAATTCGAATAGTTGTTCAACATTTGCAAAAATAATTATGATAATAGTTTAAGTAGCCGCTTATAATTAGAATTGTTTTTTTGTAGAAATGAATGTTATATATTGTAGCAGTCATCGCTAATAATTAGAAATTGTTAATCAAGATAAGTGTAATAAAAGGATGAGGCATGTTTATTTTATCAAGGGTCAATTCATTTGGTTGTTCTTTATTTAACTTGGCATTTTCTTTTTCATACTAAAATATTTCATAATCATGGGCAACTATAATATTAGAAAATAATAGTAATTATATTATATAATTATTTTCCCAATTCCTTTCTTCTTCTCTATAATTAAATAATCATGCACCCCAACTAGAAACAGATTTTTATAAAATGCTTAATATAGCAATTGGTTATGTAATAAACACTGCACCCAACTTATACTGTTACAATATTTATAAATATTAATTGATTATATTAATATTATTAAGTTTATTTAAAATATTAAATATTTTTGTGTTTCAGTCTTGAAATAAAATTTAAATATGGAGAAATCAATTTATTATTACAATATAGTTGAATAAATTTTAAAATCAACTATAAAAAACATGGTACTTAATTAAAAGTTTTTTTTATATATGTATATTTTATAAAAATATAAGTTCTTATATCAAAATTATTTTTATTTTCAATCAAATAAAATTTTAAATTGAATTCAAATTAGTTTTTATATAATATTTTGCATAATATATATATTTAAATTAAATAAAATTATAAAATAAACATAATTTAATTTGCATATATCTGAATTATCTATTTTTTTTCTTACAATCTTGTTATAAATTTAATAATAATTTTTTATTATTTTTACTTTAAAGTAAAAATAAAAAAAATTTTATTAATTGAAATTATTTAATCCTGAAGTTTGTATTTTTCTCTTTTGTTCTTTTTGTTTTTTATCTTTTGACTTTTTTTTCTTACTTTTTCTTATAACAATAAAAAGAGAAGAAAAGATTATTAATACAAGACTTAGTTGAACAAAATTTCATATTTAAAAATATATATTATATATATATTTTTTTTTCAACTAGCTAGGCCTTGCCTAACGTGCTTTATTTAGTTTACATGTGTTACTTCTTTTACAAGAGTTAC